AGACCATCCCCCTTTTCATCCAATCACATTTCTACATGGTTGTTGATCATGTCTACCCAATGAAGTCTCCATAAAAGGCCCAAGAAGATAGGGTTGGGACTTGTGGGACAGCTGAACACACGGAGGTCCTAGGAGGATAAGTGAGAGCTCACCCATGTGGTGCACCTCAACTCCTCAGGGACAGAAGCTCCTGCTCTAGGGACCCTCATCCTGGTTACCTGTCCATCCACCTGTTTGTTTGTACCCTCTAAAATACCCTTTGTAATAAGTCAGTAAACTAAGGTGTTTCCCTGAGTTCTGCAAGCTATCTGACCCAAAGAGGAGTCCTGGGAAACTCAACTGGGAACTGGTCATAAGTTCTAGAGGCCCAGACTTGCTAATGGTCTGATAGGGGACACAGCCTTGTGGGATGGAGCCTCAGCCTGTGGGATCTAAGGGGATCTGCAGGTAGGTAGCATCAGAATTGAACTGAATTGGAGAATACCTAGCTGGTGTCTGTGGCTTGATGTATAGGGAAAACCTTCACATTTGGTTACAGAAATCTTCTCTGTTGATTTTTGTGGTTTGCAAAGAAAACAGGAAAAAACTCTTTTAAGTTGTTTTATTCTCTCTCATTCATACCACCTCAAGCCTTTTACTTCTAGATTTCTCTCTCTGTTTCAAGGTCTGTGACCATCACCAGAAAGGCACACAGTGTGGACCTAAAATCCTTCTCCACAGTTCTTATTAACTTCTTTCTTATTTTGTATGTCACAATGTTGTCTTCTAAGTTTTTAGCTCTCTTTTACTTTATTTCACAAAAAAGGCAGGTGAACCCAGTTAACCCTTGTACAGTAAAAACAAGGTACCACCACACAGCTAAAAGGAGTCTTTCATTAATCATTTACAGAAGCTGTTTCCAGTTCTGCATGTTCTTATCTTAATTTCAGGCCTTTTTCTGGGGCCCAGGGTCCTGTACTCTACCCCTAAGGCATCCATCCAAAAGAGAAACTCTCAGCTTCTATAAACATCTCTCCTATATAAATGTTTTTAAGGCTCAGTCTTAATAATCAATTACCAGTTTTCTAAGACTCCAATACCCCTCCTCTCTTCATCACAGGAACACATCAGATTCTGTCCAAATGACTAGAGCAGGAGTTCTCAAACTTTTTAAACAGGGGGCCAGTTCACTGTCCCTCAGACCGTTGGAGGGCCTGATTGTGGGCCCTAGACAAGTCAGTTGCTAAGCAGGACAGACAGCAGTGGCAAAAACACCCGGCAGGCTGGATAAATGTCCTAGGCGGGCTGCATGTGGCCTGCAGGCCGTAGTTGAAGGACGCCTGGACTAGAGAGTAATCTTCTCAAAGAGAAAGGTATATGCTAATACTTTCAAAATAAATCTTAAACTTGTTTACTTTTAACAATCAAGAAAAAGTCTTTATAAATGGCAGGTTGAAATAAGTGGACAAAAGGCTAAAAAAACAACATTCTAACATCCTTCTCAAGACACAAAATATTACATATTACATATAAACATGACCTCTATCTTTCTACAGGCATTTGCTACATACATCTTAAACTCGAGCTTCTTTTCACCTTAAGAATTGCTTCCTTTTAAATTCAATTTAAAAAATAGGAAATAAGGATGGCACAAAGCAGAGGCTGCTTCCTTACTTTTGTTTTTTGTATATTATTTCTGACTTGTCAAATAGATATCCTGATAATTAAATAGACCATACCACAGAATAAGGAAAAACATAATAAACAAAAGATATGACTGAGGTTGATAAAGTACTAAATAAATGTCCCTCTTCAGAATTTTCCAGGTAATTATAGATTTTACTGACAATTATTGAATAAATACATAACATCTTTGTTTAGGGCCAGTCATCTATTTGTAAGCAGTTTTACTTTTCTACAAACATGCTGTCCACTCAATGACAGATGGTGGCTCAAACTTTAACTCTGATCAATAAATCAAAGTGTACTATATTCTACAAGTGAAGTTTTCACAGCATAAATGAGGGCAAAGTTATCACTAAAAAAATGATAGCTACATTAAACATTACTTTTTGGTAACATACGTGAACTAAGAAAAAAAATGTACGGTCAAATGATAAAAAGCAAAGATTATTAGTTTATAAGGATTTTGGGAGAGGACTTTGGGGTCAAAGAGCTATCTTCTTAGAAGCAGAGGGTCACAGACATAAAGAAAAAAGGAGGAGGAGGAGAAGGAAGTATCACTTTAGGAAAGTAACCACTCCCAAAGTGGAAACTATTTAGTCCCTATCCCCTAACACCTGCAGATACAGCATAGCTCTATAGGAAAATTTTAAAACAACATGAAAAAACTACTGACTTAGGAAATAAACTCTTTTGATATTCTTTACAAAAAACTGAGTTAAGAAACTTTAAATTCTTAGCAGAAGTAGAATTTGCTATTAAATTTTAAGACATATCTCTAATTTAGGAGCTATCACTAAAATAACAGTATTTGGTTTCATCCTGAATATGGAATTCTACTAATGAGTAAAATCATGAAATAGCTTTATAAAAGCTAATTCAAGGGGGGGAAAAAGACATATTTGGACTAAATTTTCTTCTGAAAATAAAGACTTGTTTTGATTAACTCAAAAGGAAAATAGTTTATCAAAAAAGTAAAGTATACAATGGATAAACGCTAATTCTTAACTTTTCTCATAGGGTATATAAGCACGAACATTTCATATAATAGTATTAACACATACCTGTTTTGGGATGTATTGAAAAGAATCCCTGTGGATTTCCACTTGTAATTTTGTACATCAGCTTGTCATTAGAGCTGGAATCTGGATCAAATGCCTCGATTTGGACCACAGACACATCCTTGGGAGAATTTTCCATTACTTCTGGATAATAAACAGGCTCTGATGTCTGTGGCGCGTTGTCATTGACATCTTCAACCTCTATGTAGACCTCTATAAATGATGAAAGGGGCACAACACCCTGATCGGCTGCATAGACTGTCAGCCAATAATGGGAGGTCGATTCCCGGTCCAGTCGATCACAGGTCTCTATGACACCTAGAGAGAAAAAAAAAAAGAAGAAAAACGTCAAGTAGAATGTCATCAGCAACAGCACAAACTGCTGCTCCAAGAGAAGTGCTAGCCTGAGAGTAACTCTGACTTATCGAGGGCTTATGTGTCACTGCCTAGTTGTGCTATCTTGAACAAGTTATCTAGCCTTTCTGTGCTTCAGTTTCCTCTCATATGAAAGAGATAGTGTATGATAACTGTTCTTTGTGGTTGATTAAATGAACAAATACTCATATGTAACAACTACAACAAGACTTGGCACAGAATAGATGCCATAAAAATATTTGCTATTATTAGAATAAGTGTCAGGCACTATTTGGAGCACTTAAACAGTATCATCTCACTGAAGTCTCAAGCCAATGGGACAGGCACTAAGGTTAGTTATCTACTTCATTTGTCCAAAGGTGACATTTATGGCTGGCTGAGATTTGATGACTTTCCAAGCAGCTAATCAGGAAGGCAGGGACAATAGCAGAACCACAGCCAGGGACCCAAGTCCCTGCAGTCTAGTGTCCCTGCTCTCTGCACTGTACACCTGTGACCCAGCACTGTCACTGCGGAAGGAAAGAGACCAAAGCAATAGTCCTCAAGATGGCTTAGTCTGTACACACATCCATCTCACAGCAGCTAAGGAAAGGGCACAGCCTTTCAAAGTCCAGAATAATCAAATGCTCACTTCTCTTCCATTTCTTTTAATCACTTCAAACTAAGGGGGAGACAACCAGTATGATGCTATAAAAATAGAAATTCTCCCATTATGCTATGAACTCCAAAAGGGTAGAAGTCACATGACTCTCAAATATCAGTATCCCTAGCACCTTACACAAAACACAGTAATTATTTCTTAAAATAGATGAATGAAATGCAAAAATATATTAACTAATGTTGGTATAGAACAGTCTTTCACTGGGAACCAAAGTAGGACACATTTCTTATTAAGTCAACTAGCAAGGAATGAAATTATGATTACACAGAAAAGGGTTCAACTACCAAGGGCGTCTAATCAGTGGGTCCAAGGGCTGCATGCTAGTTTTGTGAAGACTCTTTTTGTTCATCCATGCTCTGCAATGAAACTGGTTTTTCTTAATCAAAAATAAATCTGTAATTCACATTGTTGATCATTACTTAAATTCAAACATTTGCTTTTTTGAGGTTGTTACTATCAAAAAACTCATTTATTTTGAGTGAAAGCCAATCATTATCTAACGTTCCCCCAAATGCTTATATCTTAAAAATGGAAAATGTGATCAAATAACAAAATGTGAAATAAATGATCATAAAATATTTGTTCCCATTCGGAAGCATTATAATTGTTTATCACTGCATCATTTATTCTCACTGAATTAATGAATCTACAATACAACTTCTAGAAGGAACAGAATAAAACCCAGAACTATTATAAATAAAAAGAAGCTAGACCAGATGCAGTGGCTTACACCTGTAATCCCAGGACTCTGGGAGGCTGAGGTGGGTAGATCACTTGAGCCCAGGAGCTGAGACCAGCCTGAGCAAGAGTGAGACCCTGTCTCTACTAGAAATAGAAAAATTAGCCAGGTGTGGTGATGGTGATGCCTATAGTCCCAGCGACTCAGGAAGCTGAGGCAGGAGGATCTCTTGAGCCCAGGAGTTTAAGGTTGCTGTGAGCTATGACACCACTGCACTCTTCCCAGGGGGACAGAGTAAGACTATCTCAAAAAAAAAAAAAAAAAAACAAATTAATTAATTAAAAATAAATAAAAAGAAGTTAATGGTTTCTTCACATAGCAGAAAATAAACTCAAACATGCTTCCATTTTTCTCTGATCCAAACATAATGTATGCATACTCGAACCACTTGCTAAATTAGTGAAACTGTACCTATTTGCAATTTGAAAGAATAATCTTTTCCCATTTCTCTAATTCCATCACACTCATCCACTGACACAAAGAAGTCAGGGGATAACAGCACGCTCTTGTTAGAAGAATTACATATTAACAAAACCAATATATGTATGCTCCTTTGTGTTTCACAACTTCATTACAATGCAATAAAATTTTTTGACAGGTGAAGTGTAAATAGAAAATTTCAAGAAGACAGGTATATGATGCCTTTATTCACCTCTTTGGAGTTCTAATTCCCACATAATTCATGCTGCTCTCCATTGTTCAAAAACGTGTGCCTCTAAATGTGATACACAGGCATTTAAAGACAATTTGCTCAGTGTTTACTACATGCCGGGCACTGTGATAAGTGTCTTACAGGCATTACTGCAGTAAATATTTACATCCAACCTGCCCACATATATGGTGCTCTCATCTCCATTCAAATTGTTCTCATCTCCATTGAAAACTGAAATTTAGAAAGACTGCAAGCTTTATCTAGATCATAGTAAATGGCAGAACTGGAAATAGATGCCTCAAATCTGTCTTCAGTGCCAGCAAAATTCCTTTTCAGTCCTATAGCTGGTATGACAATAGTGAGGTATACAAACTTAATGTGATACCTCAGAAAAGACAAGGCAAACTTTGCCTTCCATCCATTTGTTTCAAATTTATCTGTACACAATAGTTTCCTAGTCTACTCAGATAAGAGGAGAAAAACTATACAATGGAAATATATTATGGGGTTTACAACCACAGATAAAAATAGCTATCATAGTAGTTTGCATTGCGTTCTATGTCATGCAAGTGTCCTCAAGACATAGTATGCAGCTGTCAGATGTCCTCTGTTGGGCACTGCCCCTCTCTGCCTATCACCTAGGAACTCAGGCAGAACTACACTGTCCTCCAACTGCTGCCCCCAAGCCAGTGAGGAGGGAAGTTTCAACATCCTGGTAATCTCTGGATATCAGCTACAGTGAAAAGTGAGAAAATAAAGTGCCTCTATTTAAATATGGAAGAAAATTAGGATTGAATTAACAACTAAAATAGTAAATTTTAACGTGTGAATGCCCAACATTCTTATTTTATAAAGTCATGAACTGTGTACTTTTTAAATACCATACAGTGATTGTAAAGAAATTTATGTTTTGATGTATTTTAATTATTATACCCTTATAAAAGAAAAAAATTAATATGATTTATAGAGAACTATAAGATAAAAGTAATTTCAACTGTGAAGGAGAAAGGAACGAGTATTAAATAATCTCTTCTAATCCAAATCCTCAAATTCATAAAAACCTTAACTAGAGTTTACTGTCTGCCAATCACACCTCACTGGATGATTTATGTGCATTAGACATTTAAAAAACAAAGAAGTTGTATAACTTTCACCCTAGCTTTATACATGTACAGGAGGAAAGAGAAGCCTGGATCAATCAAGAAACCTGCTCAGGCCTTGGAGTGGTGAAAAGACATGGGCTTGGTTAGCAGTAAGTAGTGGGATCCAGATGCAGACAGTCTGAGGGTGACTGAGAGCTCCAGACAGAGCTCAGGGTCTTCCCTAGCAGGCTATGCTCTCCTGATACCCACTGCATCACTGTCAGACACTCCACAGCACCAATGGTCTATCACCAAGACAAACAGCAAGGAGTTTTCAACTGCTGAAATAAGGGTACTTCTTGTACCTAAAGGACAATGAAAGAGAGGAGATGATCTCAGGACTCTGGTCACCAAGTTCCAGGGTATAGTACATAAACGCTATTCTATTAACTGCAGAAAACTGTCATATACACATAAAGTTGTCTCCTCAGCTGCAACATATGTCTCCTAAAGATGCCCCAGCAGAAACTTCTAAGGTTGGAATATCGAACTAGCCTGAGGTCACAGGTCAGAGCCTCAAGCTATGTATCTTGAATCTGGGGCAAGAAGAAGGTCCAGGAAAGGCTAGGTAAGTGTCCCTATAATCTTCAAGGAAAGACACAGTAGATCACAGTAGATCTCCACGTAGCCTTAGTCATCTCAGAATCAAGAACTAGATTCTGAACCCCTCAGAAATACTACACCCTTTTTGTTAAAGAAAGCTGAGATAATGTGTCCAATTGTAGAAAGCTAAAGAGGTAGAGTTTAGCATCTAGAGTGAGGTACCTCCTTAATTAGGGGTCATGAGGATAGAAGCCGTCGCTTAAAGGAGTCCTGGCTTCAGAGGTGGTCAGTACACCAGCTACCTGCAAGTCTGACCAGAAGCAGCATTTACTCTTTTAAGTCACTGAGCCCTTATTCCTACAGGTTAGCATCCTTCTTTTAACCACCTAAAGCCACCACTGGCATTTATGGATCACAGATTGATAATCTATAACTTTTGCAGTTACCTAAACCCAATAAAGACAGATTTTCTAATTTCTATTTAGAACACTTCTGATTAGTACCTTTAACAGAGAAAAATAAATAACTACAAACTCTTAGCCATCACTTGATGTGAATCAAACAACTGTGTTCCTTTTCAAAACTCTATCTCCATTCTTACGTTTCTTAATCCAGAAATGTCTACCGATCAACTTTCAATAATTACATTTTGTATAGTGGGTTATAAACTCACTCTTCTGGGAGAAAAACTAAAACTATAGTTTTTACAGACATTTTTCTTTAATGTATACTCAAAATACCACCTCATCTTTTGGGTAAGTGGATGCATATATACAGAGAAAGAAAGTGTGTGTGTGAGATATGAAGTGTACACACACACATCCACTGCACGCTCTTTGCTGTGGTCCCCTCTGTCTTCACTATCTCCACTCTCTCAGCTCCCTGCCTTCTCAGCCACCTCTGCTTCTCCTTTCCAGCTCTTCTTTCATGTTTAAAATGGCAACAACAGGATGCAACCACTAGATATGAGAGCCCAGTCTGCAAAGAGGGAGAGGAGGAAGCAAGGCCTTCCCCAGATGTGCTTTCATCTGATGTGCCAGCTGAGAGGAGCATCAAAGCCAAGAAGAGGGATGAAAGAACACCACCGCCAGGAGGCTGCAATGCACAAGCAGGGAGACCAGGTAGTGAGGCTGCCACACTCTGATGGGTGTGCTTTGAGCAGAGGAAACCAGTTTAGAGGAGCTTGCTCATTCGATGTACCACTCA